CGGTCGGCTGAAGGTGCGATGTAAAACATACCTGATCGCTGCTTGTCTATACGTGGATGTTTAGGAAGAGCAGCCTCATTACGTTTTTAAAATATCCCGCATGAATTACACATGGTGCATGCAGAACCTAAAAGTGTTAAATTATGCCATCTAAGGAGAATAGGTCCTCGTGTGGTCTTTTGATGGCAGCTGTCAACGGATCGGGTCGTTTCGTGTGGCTTTCGTTTATTTGTATTACCTCCGCAGGGGCTTGGCGCGGGTTATGTTTTTACCGGCGTGTGTTTGAGTGTGGTTTGTGTGTTTTGGGTTTGTGGGTTTGTTAACATGCACGTTTCAGTTCACTTCCGCTAAGTGCGCTGCGCTGTAGACTTTACAAACACGCAACCACAGGCTAAGGGGCAACCACAGTCCTCCCACACCTGCACGCTCGCCTAATCCGATCCAATTTAATTAATTAATTAATAAAAAATTTCACATTGAGAGAATTCAGCCTGCTTGGCGGAGGTCTGTGCTCTCGAGTGCTTCTAGTTTTATTTATTATATTATAGTTATTATTTTATTTTATTTTTAGTATCGCCAGGTATCCGCTGCATACATAGTACCATGGAAGGGCATTTTGTTGACAGTATGAAATGTATTTTGGCAAGAATACACGCGTGAACTCCTACCGTGTACATTTAAAACTTCCGGTGAAATATCGGTCGCGATGCGTGCGTGGCCACATTAATTATGATGAATGCATTAACCGTGGCTCTTCAGTCACAGATAAATCATTTGCGGACGTTTCTTTGCGAATGCCGCCATAATTTATTTATTACGGATCTTTAGGCAGATCCGACGATGTACAGATCATCGAACAATTAAATAAACCGTAAAACCTGGTAATAACACTCCATATCTAGATATTCTGGTGCTGGCGAGCGGGTGGTGGATGGATGGATGGATGGATGGATGGATGGATGGATGGATGGATGGATGGATGGATGGATTGATGGATGGATGGATGGATGGATGGATGGATGGATAGATGGATGAATGGACGGACGAGGACGACGGACGGACGGACGGAGCGGACGCGGACGGACGGACGGACGGAGACGGACGGACGGACGGACGGACGGACGACGGACGGACGGACGGACGGAGGGGCGGACGGACGACGGACGGACGGACGACGGACGACGGACGGACGACGACGGGACGGACGACGAACGGACGAGACGGACGCGGACGGACGGACGGACGACGACGGACGACGGACGGACGGACGGAACGACGGATGGATGGATGGATGGATGGATAGATAAATGGATGGATGGATAGATGGATGGATAGATAAATGGATGGATGAATGGATGAATGAATGAATGGATGGATTGATGGATGGATGAATAGATTCATAAATAGAACTTATTCCATGCACTTAGAAGGTTGCATGAATTAATATAAGTTATATAAGGTTACATAGAAGAGAAAAGTAAAAGTATGAAGAAACATCGAGAAGTGGTGTGTGGTGTAATAACACATTTTTCCATATAAGAGTTTACATTACAGCTATTCTGAGCGCCTACGCACATTCAAGCGCATAAGGTATAAAAGATTGCTAACCATCTCCCGGCGCATTGTCTGTCGTAGTAGCCGAGGCAAGTTGAGACTGATGGTAAGAGTATTATCTCACCAGAGCTGTGGTTATGAAGAGTACTGGAATGTGGCACATAGGGATGAGAATTCTCAGAATTTACCATGATCGAGATACATCAACATTGTGCACTTAACGTAGGACGAATCTAGGCCACTGTTTTGCAGTAACGATTGCAACAAGTGTTTTTTTTATCGACTATTGCAAACGCCGCATGATTTGTTTTTTATTACATCTTGTTTATATTTTATTTTAATATGTTATTGTTTTTATCGATCGTTCCAGGTGACATCAATATGTTGTGCAAGAGATAGACGGACGTAATACGAACACACAGACGTTCTCTCGAAGACCCAAGTGTGGTGATCCCAAGCATTAAAGAAACGTTTGTCAACCGATAGAGGTATGTCATATAGCGTCGTATCTGTCTCGATTCAGTCACATTATTTGCGTGTTAAAGTGGATTAAAAACGCGGCCCGTGTGAGCATTCGTGCTTTAACGTATAGACAGACACATGCGTACGCGATGTATGACCTGCGCGCAAACCAAAATGAAGAAGGCCGTACCAAGGTGTGTCGGTTCAATCAGATATCTCTCTCTCACGCTGTATACGAACAGACAACGATAATCTAAAGACAGTCGAGAGAAGAGGCGAGAGATTCTGTCCGCGATGAATTAAAGAAAAAAAATTTAATTCATT